TCAACAATATCGTTAAAGCCAGCATTTTGTACAGCCAACTGTCATTCAATGACCATTATAATAATTTATGATCTTGAAAGCACATATAACTTGCTATTGAATCGTATTTTGGATGATATATTTCATACCAATTTTGAAGCCTTTGTTTTTAAACTAAATTTTACTAAGGATGTTCCATCCACCTACTCCATCCATCAATGCATATGAATCATGGCGGGTGAGACTGGTCGTTCCTCCTTAAGGCACCGGAACCCACCTTTGAAAATTCCTGGGATCCCTGTTTCATACCCTGCTCACAGATCTGTAGTTTTCTTTTCTTGAGACCGCGATCACTGTTAGTAATCTTCATCTTTTTCATTGGGCTTCCATACTCCAGAACCAATGGGCCGATTTAGAATAAAACTTGCCACAATGGGGGCTCAAGCTTTCAATTTAATGGGTCCAGTCCTCTTTCAAGAGGAGATAATTAAGAATTATTGAAAATTTTATGTCATTATTAAAAAATCTTCTCAGGAACCTCTAATCGCATCTGAAAAGATGAAATCTGATGGAATCATCAATATATAGCTACATGTAGTGTAAATTCAAGGTTTTCTTAAGACATGTCCATTAGATTAGGGTAGGGATACAATATGAGACAATTTTTGATACTTTAAAATAAGTAGGAGTGTTCAGTCCTATTCATTTGAAATCCTCGTCTTTGATCTACATTTTCAGAGTCATAACATATTAGATTCTCTTTCTTGAAATTTTGTCAATATTGCAAGAGATTTTTCTTTTAATTAAATAAAAAGAATTCGCGTAGACTGTTTGAAAACATGGCATGAAGATTAAATAAGAAATAGGTGTTTCTCGAAGAATAACGGTAACGTATGACAGAAACAAATCTGCACGGTACTGTTACCTCACCCACTTACACTTTGTTAAAAGAAATCCCCACAGGCACTGTGGGGGGTCGGCTAAGCGTGTGTTTTTAAGCTTAGATTAGTGATCAAACATAACACCTCCAGTTCAATCCTAACAACGCATGGACAAAAGCGGGCATAACGGGTAACCTTATCTGATGCCACGAAATTTGTAAAAGATAAATGCTGACACGAATTATCTCGGTTGCCGAACAAAAGAACATGATAAATGCATTGATGTTCTCTGATAATATGTTGATTTATTTGTCTAGGAATTCATCGCTTGATATTATACTGTAAACTTAAAATAAAACATCAATTTTGATTCTTTGATGCAGTAAAATGGTTGATTAATTGCTGTAGATATATGATTGATAAAAAAATCTATTATCAGTATCTTGTTGTGGTTAGAGTCCAAACAATACATGAATAAGTTGGGGTCATGTTTACATGCCTCTTTAGCTGATTTGTATTTGAAAAATAAAATAAATACACAAAACTACAAGCGAAGTTATTTTATTTTTCAAAGAATCGTCAATACTTAAACAAGGCTCTGAAAATATGTCAGTTAACATCCGTACAAAGTTAACCTTAAAATTATCTTAATTTATGATCAAAATACATGCATGGCATACAAAATCCATACTAAACAAAGAAACGTTTTTAGTTTGAAAATAGATGTTAAATTATTTATCAACTTCCTCCTTTTTTGCTGTGGGCATTAAATTTCATTAAATACAGCAGGCTCAATGAAAATTACTCGTTTCAGAAATTATTTCAAATATCACTGTAAAAATTTAATTAATTCTGTCATTATACATTGTACAATGTATATGGTGATCAGTACTTAATACTTAAAAAACATAATGTATAAAATTAATTCGCTACTTTGTTTTAACTGCCTTTATCCGCGTTTGTATGTCTTAAGTTAGTTTTCTGTACGGGCCTTTCTTTTCTTTTTTTTCAAGCCTTTTGTTGAATCAAAAGATGAAGAGACTTCTTTTGACAAGATGATCCATTATTAACCAATGTTTTGTTTACAGAATTTTCACACTCTGCAGGCATTGATTTATTGCCTTGTCTGTTTCACAGATTCTCAACACCCAAATGTGAACTGAAGATTTATCGCCCGAGGAGTAAGTCCGAGGGCTAAAACTTGTCACTGTTTTGTTTTCCATTCTATAGTTAAATTGGCTCCTGGCAATGATTTTATATTGAAAAACCAACAACTTAAGTACATTTTGCATGTTAAAGGATGGCCCACATTGTTTGCCATTTGTCATAAAAATTCGATGTTTTGTATCAAAGTGAAATGTCATTAACGGGGAAATATCAAACCTTTGTTTGGGATGTGAAAAGTTGGGACAAAGGTGCTTACATCATAAATACACGATTATTGATGGATAGTTTTATATCGAATATTTTGTGACACATTTACACATGCCTTTAAACAAATAAAATTTTATAAACTTATAATATTAATGACGTGTCTTTAACAATAAGTGTCAAGTAGGATACCATAAAAGGTCTCCAGTTATTTACTTGTGAATTATCTATCAATGACCTACATCATTATAGCAACATTCCGATATATCGTAGCAATAAATATGCACAAAAAAAGTTTCACGGGGGGGGGGGGGAGATGTTTTAAAAATATTTTTTTTTTTTTTTTGAAAATACACTTAAGCTTTTGAACAACTTTTTATTTACAATTGAAGGACCTGGTCGGATTGTGATTTGTTTGTCTAGACTCATTTGTAAGACTGGGCATTAGTATAGGTTCACATTATGGAATTTACGTCATGATTGTAAACATTTGACAAGTTCACGCCGAACTTGCCAGTCATATGGATCTGACATTTCCTCCCTCCATAAAATAAATTTGCTTTTGCACCTTTTTACAATTTGACCGCTCAAAGCGAGATAACTTCTTACAACACTTAGTCTTCTTTAAAGACAGTCCAAATATTAGGGGACAAAAACAAATTTAATTAATTGCATGCACTCACGATCAATTTAAGGCAATTAATTTAACGGTAATTATCATAAATTTGTTTATAATTAATGTCAGTAAAAATTAACTTTCACACAACCATTTTCCCCATGGGTTTTGCACCTAATTTATGCCCTGGGGATAATAAAATTATGACACCCCGGGTCTCTACCTTGACCGATAATTGCAATCAAAACACCGTTATCATGTCATAAACTTCAATAACAAAGTGAGAAAAGGCAAGTTAATTTTCACACGGGATAGAAAAAATAAAAGTGAATCAAATCAAATTGAACGTCATAAACATGCTTTATTTCATATTATCACAAGGAAAAAAAAATGACGACCTTGCATTCGTTATATAGATTCCATTTTTTCTACACTCATTAAAAGAAAAGTAAAACTTTTTACTTTACTTTACATATTATCACAAGAAAAAAAAATGACGACCTTGCATTCGTTATATAGATTCCATTTTTTCTACACTCATTAAAAAAAGAATCTAACGGAAAGTTAGACAGATTAAATAAATAGTTAAAGAATAAATAAGATCATTCTGTAAAAAAAAAATATCTGTAATATTGAAATTATTTTGATAAAATTGAAAACGTACATTGGGAAATTATATGGATGTCTGAAATCTATATATATAATTCTTTAATCTTAGGTATGACACAGAATCGGACAAACAGTACTCAATGGGATGGAGAGAGAGATAAGTCAAAAGATTAACAAAAAATAGCGTGCAAGTTGTTTACTGGTTTGGTCAACAATCATAAGTATATACACATTTGCTTATCTAGTTATTTGTCCATTAATGGTCTTTTCTTGCGTGATGTGATGATCAAAAGATTTTTCTGTTTGTTACATAAAAAGGCGAGGGCATAAAGACTTAATAGAATGTTTGTTTAGTGATGAAGCATTGTAAATACAGACAGTCCAAATACGCCCTGATCCTTTGATAGCCTTAATTAAGATGATGTAAAAGAAGCCGCACTGTGCAATACTTCATATACTTTGTATCAGCTATTATTATACAATGGCTTTGTATTTTTATATCATCATCATCATGAGAGAGAGAGAGAGAGAGAGAGAGCAAAATTTATTTTATTTTATATGTAAACCAATGTGATTTATATCTATTAATTTTGTCATCATGCACACAATTTGATTTACAGATGTAATTTTTATATATAATGTAATTTAAATTAAAGTTACACACACATGTATATTAAATTTCATAATATACAAAGAAGTATACAATGAACATGTATTGAACTATTAAGGCCATCATTATTAATTTGATTTTTTTCTCTCTCTACTATAGAATCGTTTGATAACCCCCTCCTGTTTGTGCGAATTTTTGACACAGGTCAGCGCCAGTTTGATATGTGTGTAAGGGATTAATGTATATACTAAAAAACCAGGATATAAAATTTAATCGGACTAAATAAACATTTAAGAGAGTAATCATTTCTAAAGATTGATAACAAAAAGAAAATCTGAAGAAAAAATAAAAGTTTTTCATTTTTTAAAATCTCCATCAGCCTCTAGATTTTACCAACTAATTATACAAATGGTATAAATTATAGCTTTGTCAAGGGCAGAATAAACTTTATATATATATAAATATTTTTAAAAATCTATTGACCTCTTCTAATTAATAAAATTTTTATATATATTTTTTTTTAAAACATCATTAAATCAAAAAAATTTAAAAATGAACTGCCATTATCTAAATCGGCACGATTATAAACGGATCCTAATTATTGGGAAAATGGACATATTGAAAAAAAAAATCTTTTTAAAAAATCACCTAGTTCATGAAATATTTAATATTTACATTATATAAAAATTTATCATGTTAATATAATTATAACTATCAGAAATTTAAAAAAAATATATATCTTGTCTCTTCAATAATCAGGAACTGAAGACATAATGATACTTCTTATGGTTATTTTTTTTTCTTATGTTATCTTTTGAAACGTATTTTATTTTACCTCTGAGTTGTTTTTTGATAAAGACTATATATAGTTCACATTTTTGATACAGAGTATATTTTCTAAATCGAATCCTTGCAATCCTATTGGCTCAAAATGTCACGTGGCTAACGGACCCGCCAAATCACAAATTACATTGGCGTACGCTATGCAATCGTCACATTTGTGTGTGATCAGTGAAATTCAAAAGGAACTAAAGCTAGATTGATCGGTGAAAAGTTAGGTGTGAAAATGTCGGTCTCCAAGAGACTCGGAAAAGGGAAACGAAGTTTAATGAACGAAAGGAGTGATAATATTATACGTACTTTAACATATGTTGATTCGGACGGTGAGTTTAGCCCACATGAACATGATGGCGACATTTCGGTGAATGGTTCAAGTCCGTTATCGTCGCCATACGCCAACAATTCAGACAGGATGGAAGATCAGTCCTCGGGATTTTTTGAAATGGATTTACCCCCCTCATCCCCGTGCCCTAGCCCTAGACCAAGAAGGAGACCCCTGAAATCCAGAAAACATTCGCCGATCCCGTTCGCAGCGTATCAAGACGAGGGTCACGAGGGCGATATTGACGAAGCCTCGGAACAGAGGGTACCGGCCCCGGGGACGGAGTTTTCCTCACCGGCATGCCCTGTATCCCCACCCCACAGGCGCTTGAGAGCGTTAAGACTTTTTGATACACCCCACACACCCAAATCACTTTTACAGAAGGCTAGAAGACGACGCCCCACAGAAGCTAAAGAAGAGAGGGTCGAGGCGAATTTCAACCCCTTCACCCCAAATAATAACAGGCCAGGATCAGCCAATTATTGTGGCAAAAGAAACAGATCACAGTTTGAAAAGTAAGGACAATTTGGATTCACTTCTTTTTATAGAAATATGAGTCATCATCAGTCATGAAATGATGACAACATTGACCAGCCTCCCACAACCTCCTGAGATGATTCATGGGGTGGGTGGGGGTGAGGGGACACACACTCTGTCTGTAGTCTGTGTCAGAAAAGGTTGTCGCAACCATCAGTGCAATATATGCTCAACAATGTCAATTTGACTTTTCATCTTAGTCTCTATTTAGTAATAATTTTAGACTGAAAATTTATATTCAGACCCTGTACTAGCCTAATTTTATTGATGTTAAATGAAAATTGACAATAATATAAAGAAATGTCCATGAATTTGAGGTCTGATCAATGATCATCAAGGATTTTTTTTCTTCAATTTTTGTACCTTGCTTTATTACAACGTGTACTTTAAAATGATGACAGGTTGATTTGATTTTTTAGGAGCTTGTTGGAAGATTCAGCTGATGAAATAGAGATAGATATCCCATCCACAAAGGTAATAGCTTTATTGATTTCCATTAATGGCTCAATAAACATAAGCTTTCAATTTCTTTTCGTATCGTTCAATATCGATAATAGGACCTAATTGCAAGTTGTTGGTTTTCATCTAGATAAAATTTTATCAATTTAAAAAAAGGTAACAAGTGATGGAAATTTTAAATATTGATTATTGTTTTATTAAATGCGGAGACTGTCTCTGATTTATGTATAAGCCACTTGTTGTAACGATAACATTGCTGGAGAGCAGATGACAATTTTGAGTTTGAATTCAGTGACCTTGACTTTAAACTACAGGTGCCTGTAGCAGGTGATCGAAGGTCAAAGGTATTTTACACTCCATGGTTTTTCACTATTTTTCACATCTGTGGTGAACTTTTAACATGGGTACAGCTCTGGCACCTGCTGGTTGTTTTTCCGTCAGGGAAATTTGTATGACCCAACAAGCATGTCACCTGCCTAATGGAGACAAGTCATACATTCTGCATGGCCACATGAACTGGATAATTAACTTAAGTGATTAAAATTGATCAAAGGATTTAAAAAAAAAAAAACCCATTGAGTGTCACAGGTGATTTGGAAAGTAGATGACATGTAAATCAGTCTACCAAATATCACAATAATTTTCAATAATTTCTTTGCTTATTTTTACAGAAAATTGCGTTACATGAGATCAATACATCCAGATACAATGAGGAATTCTATGAAGTTTGTAAGCTAGGGGATGGGGAGTATGGCAGCGTGTTTAAGTGTGTACATCGACTGGACGGCTGTACGTACGCCATCAAAAAATCAAAGACACCTGTGGCAGGGAGTGTTTATGAGTAAGTGGTGTTTTAACCATGTTATCACTTTCTTTTCTTTCGTAAAGAAATGTAATGAAATAATGACAGCAATAATAGGAAGATAAACTTCCAATTTGATCTATATAAAGAGGTGTAAATTTAATTATTTAGGGATGATGTCAGTGTAAGGGGAAAATCCACAAGCTGAAACCAAAGACAAATTTTGTATATAAATGTGTTAAGAGGGAGAGGATTTAGCATTACCAAAGTTGAAACATTCATTTGTACATCACAATTGTAGGAGGAATGCCATGAATGAGGTGTACGCCCACGCAGTGCTGGGGATCCATCAACATGTAGTTAGGTACTACTCCGCCTGGGCAGAAGATGATTACATGTACATCCAGAATGAGTACTGCAATGGTACGTTTGTCTCAACCTTTAATTTAAGATTTTATGCACATGTTTGTTTTTCTTTCTTTCAAAATCACAATGGTGAAATCTGCACTCTAATATAAACAAAATTATGCAAGTTGAATATGACAGGAGATAGTAAAATTTGTGCTCAAGATAACTTGAAATGGTTGTTATATAATTGTAGACATTTCACACCAATGTTGACACAGGGGCTAGGGCCCTAAAACTGGGAAAATTAACTTTTTTTTCTGAATGTTAGGAAAATCATTTTACATGAAAATAGTTTTTTTTATTGCTTTTCTGTTGTTTGAAACCATGCAATTTTTACCTATGATGACAATAATTGTGTACATGTAGGAGGCAGTCTGAGTGAAGTTCTGGAGAGTAACAGAAGAACGGGGATGCACATGAGTGAGAGTGACTTCAAACAGGTGCTCCTACACGTGGCTCAAGGTCTCCGACTGATTCACTCCCAGAATCTGGTCCACCTAGACATCAAACCAGGTCAGAGGACACTCTTGTCTAATCAGCAATGTCAAACTTGGTTTTAAATTGTGTATAAAGTATACGTAATAAAGTAAATTTGAAATTTGAAAATGCCTATTTCTTCACAGGCAGTTGTGAGGGTTGTTAATTGAATAAGCTTGTTTTCTTTCAAATCTGAAATTATCTTGGGAATACATTAGTAGAATTTTATACTGGATTATTTTGTACTAAGATTTAATGTTTATATTGCAGGAAATGTCTTCATTCACAGAAATGAGAAATTCTTGCGCTCACCAGAGAGTGGTATGGAGTCCTGTGATGAATTGGATGATGAAGAAGTTGAGGAATCACCAGCAATTATCTACAAAATAGGTAGGGCTAATGTTATTACAAAGTCTGATAATGGTGTTAAACAGAAATGTCAAGTATACTGTAAACATATATTATGTTTCACTGTGTATTCTTTAAGCCCCTTTAGAAGAAAGCAATTTCCATTAATTTAAACTTGCACTATCGATATGTCTTGCATATATATATATATATACAAAATTCAGAACATTTAAGAATAAGCTAAATAAAATCTACTCTTGTATATTCAAAAACCAATTACCATAAAATATATTATATGCTCAATATAATACATTTACAATGAAATGATATCTTGATCAGTTTGAAAACAGAGACAGTCGGTGTCATATATTACCTATCTTTTTAGTTTTACTCTGTCAGCAAGTATAGAAACAAAGATCAAGACTGAAGAATGTTAATATATGTATGAGATAAGATGAAGAATTGTAAGTTAAAAGTGGTTTTTGAATAACAGGGGACCTAGGTCATGTGACATCTGTCAGCAACCCTACAGTAGAAGACGGAGACTGTCGATATCTGCCCAAGGAAATCCTGAATGACGATTTTGATCACCTGACTAAAGCCGATGTGTTCTCTCTGGGAGTCACCATGTATGAAACTGTAAGTATCCATGCTTGTCTTGTATTAGTATTTTTTATCAAAAGATTTACAAAATGTCCAAGCTTGTGTCAAGTTTTCCGACACATGCATCAGCATTTTTTTTTCTACCCATTGCAGGGTTCGAAATTAACTCATGTCCGTAAGTCCGAGACTAGTATAAATTGTGTCGGACTAGCAGATTTTGTAAGGTACTAGTCCGTACGGACTAGTGCAAATCCAGATATAAGTCTTGAATTGGTTCACATTTTATTGATTTTATTTCCGAGTCTTGTAGATGTTTGAAAATAAATGAGAAACGCAACCACGATAAAGCGTTTTCTACATTGTGATCAATAGACAAAGATGTGTCCATGTGGAGATTTCTGAAAGTTGAAAACCCTCTTTCTTTCACCACATGCTTCCAACTGATGTGTGGACACATATTTCATTGAATTAATTGATAAAATTTTAAGATTTGTATTATTCTTTTTACATACTATAGGGCGGACTAGTGGAATAGGTTGCGGACTAGTGGAAGCTAGAAGTCACTAGTCCGTGCGGACTAGTGCTAAAAAAAGTTAATTTCGAACCCTGCATTGGAATAGGGTCTGTGACCAATTTAATATAAAAAAAATCATGTCGGAATGGAAAGAAAAGGAATTATCTGTCACATCAACAAGCAAAATTTTATTTTCAATTTATTCTATCTTGATTTATTTTTTAACCAGTATCCAACAAGTATTCATTGTTTTACATAGTTGTACCTTGTTCTTAGGTTTCCATGAGTGAAATATATTAATAATGAAGGACATTAGGCTGTCTATAATATGCGTCCTGACATATTATGACTGATCTATGTAAATAGATTATTTTATTCTTTTCAATGTGAGTTAGATATAACGTTAAAGGTTGTTTTATTATTAAATATTTTATTTAGGGAACTGGTTGTCAGTTACCAAAGAATGGTGAGGAATGGCATGCCATTAGGAGAGGAGAACTTAAGCACATTCCACAGTACTCCCAGGAAATCAATGATTTACTGAAGGTAAATAAAAGTGTTAAACTTAAAGGCAGTCTATAGATAGAAGAATGAGAATTATCTGTGAAAAAGGATTTAGTATTTAAGGTTATTGATATCTTGAGTGTCAGATCTTTCTGTGTTTAATACTCATAAGAGTTTATTCACAAAGTCATATTTAAATTAAATGCTAGAACAATTTAAACTTGCTGAATTTTCTTAAAGTTTGAGTGACATGTTTATGGGAATTAATCACAAAAGGTGAAAATTATCTTTGGAATGGATTTCAACTTTTTGATTTTCTATAACTAGAGTATGGTACATCCAGACCCAAGCTGCCGACCCTCAGCAATGGCTATCACACATCACCCTGCACTCTGTCCACAGGCCAAAAGATCCCGCGCACAGTTACGCAAAGAACTGAATGAAGAAAAACTTAAAAATGAAGAGCTCTCAAGGTGAGAAAGTTATATCATCTGCCATTAAAAATGGGTCATCGATCTAAGATTGGAAATTATAACTTGAAGAATATTTCATCAATTTTGAACTATTAAAAAAAAAACCAAAAAAAAAACCTTTTGATTATGATAATATTTCATTGAATTAATTTGCTTCTGTAAGTGATCTTTTAAATTTATAATCTCATAACTGTCATTTTCTGTCTTTAGGAAACTTCAAGAGGCCACAAAGTGTATACCGCGACCTTTCCGCACATTCCGAATAGACAGTGTTCCGTCAGCCCTGGCTCGGAACAGCCGCCTCCTGGGAAAGAACATGAAGAGAAGCATGAGTCTCTCAGCGTTCTAACACGACAGTTAATTACTGCCTCGGACAGTGCAATAGTGTGAAATGGGAGTGGTGATTCAATGAACTGCATGCAGAATTTCTACAGCTTACTTTTCTTCCTATTCTTCTCGCTTTATTTAATAATTTGAAGAAAAAAAAACTTCATGGGATGGAAATTTGCTTCTCTTTCACTTGTTAATATGTAGAGTTAGTATAATGCATTTTTGTTCTTAGTCCGAAAAATCATTGGTAGTTTATTTAGTGTAATGTATCTGTAATACGAGTGCCAGTATTCTCACTATTAAATCATTTCTTAAATAGACTGCAAATGAGTATGTATTTGTGTTCTTTGTACCTCTAATGTCCTGTCCGTCAGCAAATCTGCAATTATGTAAGGAAGAATTTGGATTTTCTCTTCCTTTTCCTAACAATGTGATAATGTGTGTTTGTTTGTGTGGTTGTATGTGTGATTGAATTAACACCTCGCTACGAGGAGAAATAATTTGTATAGATATATAATTTGTCATTCATAGTGCATATCATTCAAATCATTTCCATAGTGAATGCTGAGGTAATTATAGATATATTTATACATAAAAACATAATTTGTTGAAAGATTTAATGTTCATTCTGCAGTTTAATTCATAAGCCTCTTGTTTCGTATATAGACATCCTTGCATTTTCTTTATTATACTTTTCACATTTTTCTTTTTCATCTTTTACATTGCTTGTATTTTCCTGGCTGCAAAATGAAATGCTTTTCAAACATAACATGGAATAGTTATTATTTCTAAATGGCATATGATTTATGATATGTATTATTTTGACTTCATTGTTAAATCTTATTGTTATTTCATGTACCAAAATTGTATTTTTTTTTTATAAATGTAACTAGCAGGTGCAGAAATTCTTTGGGTAATATTTTGGCATATATAAAGCATTAATTTTGTATTTATTCTTTTTTTTTAATGAAATTTTTTTTTTCTTGTTAGAAAAGTAAGGGTTGGTTGGGGGTAATTTATTTATAGCTCTGCTGGTTACATTTTTAAAACCCCATGAGATCCATATTTTTTGTATCCCTGTTCACAGCAAGGTGCTCACTGATTGTACATTTTATTAATAAAGTTTTATCTAATTAATGTTTTGTTTTCTTTAAAAGTGAACCGTTTTTGCATTATCTTTTGTGATGAGCTATAATCTTGTACTTCAAAAAGACTGAACGTTTTAATAACCCGGTAAAAAAAGAAATCCTCTAAGGTGCTCTGGATCACTGCTCAAGAGGCTGAGCAGATTTGTCAAAGAAATGAGGAAAAAATCTTGTCCCACAACTTTATAACTTTAAAAATGAATAATTAATCAATTATGAGTTTTAACCTTAAATATCACTGGTGTCTGAAAGTGAAGTCTTTGAATTTTTTTTTCTTTTGGAAAACCATGAAGCATGTCCGGTATATCAAGGACATTATACAGACCAGATATCAAGATTATTATTTCTGAAGTATCACTCAAGTTATCATGTTTTATTACCAAAATATTTTGACGCATAGCTGTTAAAGATACCCGTTTGTCTTTATAATAACTAAAGAGTTAAGTAAATGAGGGTTGTCCCAGGAAAAGGCGAACATTTTGAATATTTCATATTAAAGTACTTTCCCAAGTTATTCATCTTTGCACATTGTAGGGAAATTATATTACTATTTTGACTTAATATTAGTAGATTCTAGTGCTATATGAATTTTAAGGAAAAGACAAAGACTTCCTGATTAAATAAAAGAAATCGAGAAATTTGTAAGCATCATAAAAAATAGTGTTGATTAAGTCGTGTTTTTCCTTAGACAATCTCATATTTGTATCTCCACGTCAAATCCTGCTGATAAGAGTGACACTTACCTAATGGGAAGAAGAGAAAGTATCTCAAGTTCCTTGAGTAAGCACTTTTACACTATAACACCATTTTTCGAGTGTTTTAAATTATTTTATACAAGTTAAATTTTAGTGTTGATGCTAAGCATATATAACGAACTGTTTTGTATGTTGCTTTCACTTTATTGCTGCAATCAGATTTCTAGTAAGCATATCTGAGTACACATATTCATACACACTAATCATATTTTTATTGCTTTTTTTTTAATATTTCATTTATAATGTGTATCAAAGTAAACCGAAGAAAATTTTCTTATTTAATACAACCTTAGATAGTTTCATGCTTGGATATAATTTCATTCTACAGGTTTTGTATTGTTAATGTGCAACTTCACATACACATGGTATATTCAGTGTTCAATGATATTTGAACTAATTCATTTTAAAAATAGTGTAACCAACATCATATGATAATCATTATTGTAGTCATTACTCCACTTTGGTTTGATACATAATTATTTAAAGGGAAAATTACACGTAAGATCATTTTTCTTTTCGATGCAAACTACTGACAAATAATTTGATGTGCTAGGGTTACAGTATATCGGTATATCATTACTCTCTTTTCAACTCACAACTTTGCATAGCAACGTCTTAGCAATTGTCTGACCCAGTGTTGAATGCTGATTTTCTAGTCATATGTAAAACCATCAAGACAAAGTGATCGAGTGTGACAGATCGACAGAGAGTGTTTATAAATTTCATTGTAGCACCTGCCCAACTCCGATTTTCTTGGAATCCGTGACTGTCCTGCTCTCAATTTGTACAGTAAATAATGTGTACCGTTAGCTGGCTTACTGCTCGTTATTTACAGATTTTATGATGTCGAACTTTTTCCGAATAATCGAGATTACGAACATTAATCAAGCAAAAAAGTCCTTATAAACAACAGAAATCGGAAGCAGAACAGGAACAGGCCTCTAAAACCATCATAAGTATATACAGTGTATATAAAATGTATATGTTATCAAAGACCTATATATAATAAACAAATGCTAAGTATTTAAGTTTAATAATTTATTCGAGTTGGCAGGTATTGTCCACAGTGGTCTACACAACAGTGGGGCAGCCGGCAAACTGGCATACCCCCAACATCAACATAATTTGTGCCCTCCCTGACGGGAAAAGTAGCACGCTGGGTTGACCTCATTCGTGCTACGGACACATTTCAACACAAATTGTCTTTTAATTATATTATTTTGCTTTAGATTTACATTGTACATGATATAATTTTCAAAGTCAACATCACATATATCAACATCAACCATCACATATATCAACATCAACCACAAAAAGTCAACAAAATCAACAGTTCAATGGTTAAATTGAAGGTGACGATTTCGCCAATATGACCACTGTGAAGTATAGTTTACTGTCTTTCCCCGAACTCCTCGAAATCATGGATAATTCGCCAAGTTGACTCTTGTCACGCATGGTATTAGGCCAGAGATCATTCCTAGAATACGGAAATAGCAGGCAATTTTGGTCAGCATCGTAAGTCCCCTTCACCGAAATCTCTAATACCTGAAAAGACAAAAACAAAAAACCCACAGCAGAAAAAGATTCTCAATAACATTTCCACAACTTTAATAAATTGGGTATCGCTAAACCATATAAAACAATGTAAATGTAATTTAAACAAACAGAAGGAGAAAGGGTATATACTTAACACCTACCTCGAGGGTTGAGGTGGGAGGGTATTTCATAATACAAAAAAAAAAATAAATCGGATACTTTCATCACTCACCTTTCACTTTCATTGATGCATAGAAAAGGGGAGATAACCCGTAAACCTAGTGACTAAGTACCGACACTGTATGGATGGATAAATAAATTCCGACTTATCTCATTTATTACTAGTTTTTTCACAAATAGGAGGCGAATGATGACATATTATATTGAGGATAGAGCTTTGATAACGACGCATATTGTGAGATGAACTCAAATATGCGGTATTATCAAAGACCTACATATAATAAACAAATGCTAAGTATTTAAGTTTAATAATTTATTCGAGTTGGCAGGTATTGTCCACAGTGGTCTACACAACAGTGGGGCAGCCGGCAAACTGGCATACCCCCAACATCAACATAATTTGTGCCCTCCCTGACGGGAAAAGTAGCACGCTGGGTTGACCTCATTCGTGCTACGGACACATTTCAACACAAATTGTCTTTTAATTATATTATTTTGCTTTAGATTTACATTGTACATGATATAATTTTCAAAGTCAACATCACATATATCAACATCAACCATCACATATATCAACATCAACCACAAAAAGTCAACAAAATCAACAGTTCAATGGTTAAATTGAAGGTGACGATTTCGCCACATGGGCACCGTAGGTGCCCACCGCCACCTGGTGGGGGTAGGCAACTTCAATTTAACCACCCACCATGGACTCCTAGCCTACTCAAAACCCTCAGCAACCCATCCATCGTGGACATCACTCTCTCTCATTTCCAACCCACTGTGGATCTATGTTGCATTAAAATAATTCTGGTCTCCCTTCAAATTAATCGTGCCTAACCCCCCCCCCCCCCCCTGATTTTATATCTTTCAAAGTTCTATTGCTTTGGGTCTCTATTTCTATTATTAATATCCAGTTATATTACTGAGTCAGCAAGAAAGAAGTGACTGGACTAATGTACGAAAATAATGTAGGAAATATGTTTTATCTAGATTTACCCCCCCCCCTTTTCTTTAAATTTATTTGTTTATTCATTTGAATTTTATTTCTTATTTATTTATTTTTTAGGTGATTTTAAAAAAAAAATTGTTAATTACTTTCCTGCAAAGATTACAAGCAAGATGAATGAGCACCTATACTCTTTAACCCCCCCCCCCCTTCCCCTTTCAGCACGATTATGCTGTACCTGTATTGTTGACAATAATCTTAAAAGTGTTCACATTCCCAATTTGTTAACTGCAGAACATGTTTTGTGATACATGTATTTTAATGTATCTTGCCAGTTCTGAAGGAATGAGGTTATACAAGTACCACTAATTTTTGAAACCAAGCTCTTCCAATGACCATTTAAAATTGATTAAATCTTCTATATACTAATTACGTTGCAAACCATGAAACACAATATGGGACTTTGTATTTACCCCTAAGCATTTGTAAATGTTGATGGACTGCACCAGACATGTAAGGCACATATGACTAAGACCTTTATTCTAAATCCCTTCCCAGCTGATGCTCCATCAAAAAGGAATGATCTTACTTCATACTTTGTGAATTTTAAGGGGACCCCCCCCCCCCCCCCTGCAAAAATATGCTGTGGAATAGGTTATTAAAAATATAGACTTCAAAATTCTTTTTAAGGCTGTGAAAAATGGATATATGATATAGAGCATGAAAATCAATATGCTAAGTCAGTGGAAACCTACCCTTTATCTAATACCCTAAAATGCTGTAAGAAGTTTATCTAATCTTAGTACATGTGTACTACGAGACTTGAACTCCAACACACATGTGGATTTGTATTTGTATCCCCTAGCTAACCTGTATTTTACTCCAGCATGCTAGAGGTTTACGACGAGATACTTTTGACTTGGCTCCGAGGTATACAAGGAGCGTAAGGACATTAACCAAGGCTCTTACTTGCAGAAGTAACCTGTATTTGTACCCGATATGTAAACTACATGTACATATGCACCGACTAATGCATCTTAATCCCATATGAGATTAAGCGCATACTATTAAAAAGAAAATATTGTAGGCGATGGATCAGATTGTAACCTTGCCTGTGGCACAATGTGTGTCTAACACCCCCCCCCCTCCAAGAATTTGTATCTCCTATACTGTTAGGTAATCTCGCCTTAAGCGTTTTTTATTTTTTGTTTGTGTTTTTTTTTAATTTTATAATTACCGATAAATAAAGCCAGTTACCTAAACAATTTACCCTTTGTGAATTTAAAATCTGTGAATATAGAATTTTAACTGAAGCAACTCTTATCTGTGTGTAATAGCAAATCTTTTTATTTAACAACTTCGAGACACAGCAAAAACCAACACTGACAAAAAATTAAGCCCCATTTTAAACCTTATAAGTCTCATTATAACCCATTTTATTTTATTTATTGATTGATTTAAACTTATCCAAATGAGCCTGCATTGACTTTAGCACCTGAAGAACTCTGTAATTTGTCCTCATCCCTTTGTCAAACTGAATAACTTGTCACGAGTAAAATTGGTAAAAGTTCA